TACCACTCTCTTTAACCAGCTCAATGTTGCGTCGTCGTTGCCTCCCATTTTACCCTATTAAGCAAACCTGCCACATGAAAGAAATGCGTATATCTTCCTTATTATCTGTCTTAGGGCTCACTGCAATCGAGAAGCGCCACCATCAGATATTGCCTAGCTATATATCTCGCATAGTTTCGCTTCAGAAGGCAAAAGTAATCGTTCCCAGCGCGCAGCTCGTCGCAACCTTTGTCGCACCTTTTCTGTCTTACCGCCCTAGAGGTCGACGCATTGTTGTCATCACTCCGAACCACATTTTTCCCGCTTATACAGCTTCCCATACCAGTTGTACAGATTCCCGGTTCGTAGGGCTGTTCTGTGTCTGTGGCTCTTTGTGTGACCCTCTGTATTCCACACTTTGTGTGTCTTCTGTGAGTACCGTTTGCGGGACTCACCAGCAGCTTCTTCTCTCTTACGGAGTTGACACTTGATGTACCTTCATCGACGCAGTCCAGGCCTGACTCTTCGCTTGTGGCATCTCCCTTGGGGACCTTTGCGAGCGACTTAATCACGCTGCCTGCTTTCTCTATCTCTCTTATTCTTTTTAGCTTGATTCATCTTGGTCATACGAGCACATGCCCGACAAGGCGGACTCAGTGTTAGGCCGCCATTACGTCCGGATGTGGCCTGGTGCCAGGAAGGCCCATTATAATACATCCGAGGTTGTGGATTCCCTTACTGAAGATCTTCCGAACAATCGATTCATAACACCCTGGGTTCGGGGTTGGCAGTTCTTGACTAGCCAAGGATCAACGGTGATCCGATTCTGCAGCTGAGTGAACGACTATTCAGCTTAGACCTCGTACCGCGACAAGGTACCTGTTCCATCGGAGCCCCGATTCTTAGGTATTCCACATTTGGCAGGTAATCCCATACGATGCGGTACAGCGATTTTAGGCAATTTTTTAATAATTTTTTTCCCATAAAAAAAAATTTTCGAAAATACTTTGTATGGGGAAAAATGTGAAACACCTTCATCTAAAAAATAAATAAAATAAAAATAAAAAAATTTCAAACATCTACGCGATTTTTTAGCAACTTCTAACTTGGATATAAAAATACTCAAAAAATACCTAAAAAATCTGATTGAAAAGTTGAAGATTTATTAAATTTTCCTGAGTCTGTGCCAATACTTTTTTCCCGTGAGTGTATGTGCAAAGTTTTTAAATGCCTTCATAGTTATTTAATAGTCCTTAAAATCGCATATCAATCAAAATATCAAATAAAAAATTGATGAGACGTGTTTTTTGGAAGTCTCTATTCAACAACAATTAGAAAACTTTGCCCCCTGCTGTGTTATTATATTACCTCTGGCATAAGTAACCTTCCATTCTTTAAAACACAGTACGTATCGACCCACCCTCGTAGCCCGCTTTACATATATTCATATATATGTATGTACATTAACTAAACTCATCACTGCTAGTGACAAACTTCGCAAAAACTGTGAGGATGTTAGATTTGTAATTAAGAAAAGTCATCAACTGAAATGCCATACCATAATGTAGTGTGGAAAACCATAAAAGCTTGAAAGAGTANCAAACTCATCACTACTAGTGACAAACTTCGCAAAAACTGTGAGGATGTTAGATTTGTAATTAAGGAAAGTCATCAACTGAAATGCCATACCATAATGTAGTGTGGAAAACCATAAAAGCTTGAAAGAGTAGTATAAAGTCAGCAGCAGCGCACCGAAGAAGACTTTGGTTTTATCAGCAACAGATAAAGCAGATAGCAAACGCTTTGACGGCTGTGGTAATGGGGTTTTTCTAATGTCACCAGATACAGCACAACTGAGAGATAAGGCTGGCGTCACCAAAGTCACTACAGACAACAGCAAAAGCATTGGTCACAGCTTCGCAGGGTGCAACAACATNGCCAAAGTCACAAACAGACAACAGCAAAAGCATTGGTCACAGCTTCGCAGGGTGCAACAACATCATTATCGCGTACATTGATAATTATGGGGATAAGATTATATCGTTACAGCATAGGAGGAACTATTTATTCAAAAAAGAATACACACCAACCAACATAATTCGCAACTCCAACTTTAGCAGCAGCAACACCAGATGAATGCTGCATTCAAACAAATGTCAACTCCGTCACCAATCAGTGAAATGACTATGAATGACAACTCTGACGTTGTTGACTAAATACAAAACCATTGCTGATTGCTAGCACTCCTGCCAAGCAGCTTTACTGTTCCTTACATGCTGAATAGTAGTAACTTACATATGTACATATGTCTGTGTGCCTATAAAAACGTACCCACCGTTGCATTTGCTTTTTTATGTGCTGGCGTTTTTTTTATTACATAAATGGTGTTTCTTACCAGGAAGATAGGTGCGATGTCCTCGGTTGAACTGTATGGTAATACAATACTAATATGAGAAAGAGTTAGTGTAAAAAGCCGCAAGCACAGCCATGAAGTTCATACGTATTTAAATATGTGTGTGGATTATGAAACTTATTTGATGTGAACTTTTAATTGCAAAATTTAATTAAAAAGAAGAGAGTACATACATATGTATGTGCATCGACTTGCATAGAGAGTCAATAATGGGCGACTATAAAATGGAAAAATTATTATTTTTATTAAATTAAATATAATTATTTGATTTACACTACTCTATAATTTAATTTATACTATTATTATGAAACCTTTGTAGTCTTGCCCATTCTTTGCTTGTGAGCTGCGATATACCAGGGAGCGCTAAAAACCATATTCTTCAGCTGCTTAAGACTCGAGTACATTCTCGTGATCTGCATATAAATGATATAATTTGGAGTAGTGGAACTCTTAGACATAGCAGGGACTTTCAACAATGTTTTCCTGATCACCTCGGCTCTGACGGGCCTGCGAGTGGATACATTTCTGGTTAGGCTCATTCGCTCTTTATAGCAACAGCGCTCTTTATCTATGAAAAGCCAATTGGTATATCATAGATTTTCTCACCTAGGACAATTCAGGTGATATGAGTCCATTCATGCTCTAAGGAACCCTAGTCTGGCGGCCCACCCAGAGTAAGTCAATATAGCTCAAACAACTCCAAGGGGTACAAAAAAGTGCGGAGCTTTGCATAAGCGGAGCTCAGTGCTCTTCACCTCCTGAAGCTCTGAATGCGATTCTACGTTTGTCTTCGTTTGATTTAATTGCTACATAGATAGCCGTTATTGCAACCTTAAGACTCGGTGGGCTGGGTCCTGATGGTGCATCCGGCCACACGAAAATCATGCAAGTACTGAGCACCGTATACAATCGAATGCCTTCACCAAAAACTATAAAATTACCATACCAACTCGACTGAACTGGAACACCCGGCGGAAATGCTAGCTCTCCAGAAGGCCACTCGTGGTGAACGAATATTGCATATGGAAACACAATGGGCCTAGGGGGAACTACTCTCAGTATCCAGTCACCCCCCTCATTTGTGGATTTACGTCAGTTGTTCATCTTGAGTGCTGACTTTTCGAAGGATATTTTCACCAGAGCGTCATTATCCATGCGTTCAACACGCTAAAGCCAGCGTAATATTGTATTTTTACGCGATTGCTCGCACAGTTCGTCATTCCTATTGAGGCGTAAGCCAGTCCTTTTGACATGTAGCCCAACGTACCAGTTCCCAGTGCAGACTACCGTAAGTTTATAGGTGTTTTCTTTACTCATTCCTAAAACAGCCCAGGTTTTAGGTGGGTTGTAGGACACCCCGAACCTCCGGCTAATCCTTTACGATGCTGCGCGGTTCCACCTATGTCTAGCCTTCGAGTGATAAATTTCGGCAATTCTGCCCTTGATCTCTCTGAACAAGACACACATATCCACTGCGTGGGATACATTCAGTGAGCAGCCGCACCTTGCTAGTTGGTCCGCTGTCTCGGTACTGTTATTAGGTCCCGGGACGCATATTAGGGTAATTTCTCTATCTACAGTTATCTACTAGTTGATCTGTTATTTTTGTGCTTCTTACACGAAAGCCAAATTGGCATTGTTGCTTTTCTACACCTAACTAATTCCACGTCTCTTGTTTTGGTATGACTGTTCGGTATAACTCTAGACGGCGTTAGACATAACGCTGTACGACTTTATTATTATTATTTAAGTGCTTTCCTCAAAATAGCTTTTCACCATGTGTGGTGAATGAAAGGGCTTTTTTTCTAAAGGCCATGTCACACGATTGGTACATTTGTTTAGATTTGCAAGTTTTTATATTATTATATTATTACAAAAAAATTGGGACGAACATTTTTTTGTAGTCACACGATTGATACAATAACAAAACCCCACTCTGTAAAGGCAGTGTTACACGATTGGTACATTTGTACGGATTTGTACACTCTTTACATTGGGCTATTGTTGCAAAATAAAAAAATTGGGACGACAATTTTTTTTAGTCACACGATTGGTACAAAACAGTGAACTTCTATAGAAAAATTTGAACAAATTAGTTTTCGTGATTGGGATAAAGAAAAAATTTCCACCAAATTTTGGGAAAATGCACAATCGTGTGACACTGTCTTAACTTTCAAAATGTACAGATTTTGTTAAAATCTACAAATCGCGCGATCCCTGCTTAAGAATTTTGTGTTAGAATAACAAAAGTCTTACGCAAGGCTTTTGACTTTTTACTATTTTAGCCAGAATTGCCCTAAAAGTGTCATTTAGTAGAAAACTCCCTTTTTTTGTTATAAGCAAAGATTGTACCATAGATATTAATATATGTATATATGTACATGTGTAATTTAATTTTATGATTTCTATCTCTGAATACTGATTTAATCAACTATGTATAGTCTTAAGTTATTAAGTCGTCTCTCTGACAGCAGCATAAATTAGTTAATTAAAATTACATACCCTACATGCATACATACATACATGAGCGTAGTTAATCGCATAACAAAGCATGAAAGCTAATTTAATGATATCATTTATCTTTGTACCTACTCTTTCTCCCGACTAGGTGCTGACCTTTCTCATTGACTCGTCGCGTTTTCGCTATCCGGAGCGTGCCATTGTTTTCCTAGCCGTTTGTTATCTCGTTGTGGGTTGCGCGTATGTTGCCGGTTTGGGAGCGAGCGATTCGGTGGCTTGTCGGGAACCCTTTCCGCCGCCAGTGCGTCTAGGGCGGCTGCAAATGATGTCGACAATAACACAGGTGAGTAACTGATGAGGACTGCAACTGTTATTAAAGAAAGAGATTAATTTCTACAAAAACAGAAAAATATTAAAGTAATTGCATTAAAAAAATCTAGTAAATATTTCAAACTTTAAATATGCAGTATAAAAGATTTCCAAAAAATGCGAAGAAGGCAATAAAAAAACCACGGAAATTCAAATATTTTCACTTATCAAAAGAGATTTGTTTTATTTTTTCAACTAATTCTTTTCTTAGCATTCGCAATAATAACACAATTTCAATTCATCAGCCCCTTAAAATACGTATATTTCCCAATCATTCAAATGATTTATGTGAAAAATATTTTTTGAACGTTTTTTTTCTTTTTATTAATCTCCATTTTTGCATAATTTTTCATCACTTCAGTAATTGATCTACTTTTTATATATTTTTTTTTGCTTTTTTTCGTATTTTTCTCGCCTCCAGGGCCATCGGCAAACCACCGCATGTACCGTTTTATTTATGGCGCTCTACTTTTGTTGCATGGCCGCCTTTGCCTGGTGGTCATGTTTGGCGTTCGCTTGGTTTTTGGCCGCTGGCCTTAAATGGGGTCATGAGGCAATCGAAAATAAATCGCATTTATTTCATTTGGTCGCTTGGGCGATACCGGCGTTGCAGACAATTTCGGTGCTGGCATTGGCCAAAGTTGAAGGTGAGTACACACAGGCATAACATATTTAGATTTAATTTTGATTAAATTTTGGGGAGGGTAGTTACAAGGAAAAAAATAAAAAAAGAGATAAAAAACTGAGAAAACTGTATGAATGAGAAGTAAATTGAAAGCAGTAAATGAAATAAATTTGATGAAAATTTGAATGGAAAACCATTTTGTGCAAATAAAAAACTCATTGCAATCAGTTTTCCAATAGCTCTATTTGTGTCGAAATGGAGTTTTCCTCAATTTTTCAAATTGCATTTTGTGCTATTTACAATTTTACATACATACACACATACGTACAATTTTATTTTGTTGAATGATAATAGAATTTTCATTTATTAATGGACCTAAACAAATGTGGTCCTTATTCCGCTGTGCAGTAATAAAAATACCATATATAAAAACTTTTAATATTGGCCGCTTATATACTTTCAAACGGTTTGGTCTAGCTTCTTCTCTAATTTGAGCTGTACATCCTGATTTCACAAAAATACAGATTCCTGCGAAAGGCATAAAGTTTTTCATGTAAAGCTCTTGAGGCTGCTTGTAGTCGAACAACCGCTACTAGAAGGAACATTTTCTATTCTTTGGATGTAACGTAGGACAGGCAGCGTACTTGCAACCGTCGTCGACGGGATTGGGTAATTTCGTGTCGTCCTGCTATATAAAATATTTGATCCTAATAGCGTCGGTTCTACTCCCATTTTAATTTTCAACCATGTACGTGCGTCCCGTTAATGATTTCACGATATTCACTGGTCGGAGCATTTAGCTCACAGGCTTAACAAGTACTTCATTATCCTGCAGTGGCCAGTAAGGAAACCTGTAACCCTTCTTACTTCGTGTCTTAAAACGGGGAAGGAATGATTTGTTTATATTTCCTCAATGAAGCATTTTATCAGTCTGTTGTCTTCCATATTTGCGTGTTGCGCTTTCTTTTTGAATTCATGCATAGCATTTTGGCCAAAGGCAGCTCCATTGCAGACCAATGAAGGGACCTGTGCGTATGGATCCCAGGACAACCCATTTCCTAGCGAAAATACATGTCACTTACTTGACCATGATTATACTATGCCCCTTTACACAACTGAAGTAAACCTAGTTCTTGGCTGCGATGAGTTTTAAGTGCTGAAAGCAGTCCCACAACAGCATTAAGGTGAGCCACCGTGGCGAGAAGCACCACCCTGCTGTCAGAGCTTATGTAGAAGTATGTATTTGTTGGTCGTATACCGTATACTCTGTCAGACATAGTAAAATGACATGAACCTTAGATATAGGTTGTATACCGACAACATCATCAATCTTGTAGCCATAAGTATACCAAATATATTTATCCTTCCTGGTTTTGATGGTATATCATCAACTCAGATTCGCTGAAGCTATTCGTAAATGATTCATCAGCGCATTAGGGAACGTCCTATTCTTGTTACTGTTTTTGTACCACCCTAATGTACATATGTCTACTCCAGCATCTTAAGTCCCCCATAAAAACAGCTCAGATTTCATCCAACAGATTTGGCGGCAATTGAGTCATTAATAAAAATTTACATTCGTTGCCATCGACTCGACGATTCGATTATCATAAAAAATTTAACTTTTGACCGTCATTATAAGTAGCGACAAACTGCTTCACATACACTTAGGCATGAATGTGTGCACGAGCCTACCTAGAAGTCGAACTCGTGTGTTCAAATATAGACAAAAGCGTCTGTCAGTCAACCAACCAGCCAATGAGCTGAGTTACAGCAACAAAACAACAATAACGGCTTTGACGGCTTATTGACCAGAGTTTGCGTGCGTTGGCCTTTAAGGCCTAAAAGCCGGCTACGACCGCAGCGTTGTAAAGCTGGTAAGGTTGATTACTGTATCTGTTTAGCTTGAGCGGTAGCTGAGGTGGCGGCGTCGGTGTTGGTGTGGGCAATGATTACACGCGAGCCTTTTTTCGTAATTTATTTAACTTATATTTTTGCTTACCTTATCTACATATACATATATAGTACATATATGGCTTAAATTTTGTTGCCGCTGCGTGTTGTTGCTTTAATTTAATACCTTCGGCTGCTCGCAATGAGCATTTTATCTCTATTTCACGGTAATTTTCGTACACGCTGGCGCGAGCGTTGTAATCTGAGTCGTGTTTTTTATGAGATTTATAACTATTTTGTTTGCTGTTGTTGGTTATTATGCTTTAAGCATTATTATGATGCTGTATTTTGGTGCTATTTTCTGACGTGTTTTTTGCTAATATTTTTAATTTCTTTGTGGGCTGTGGTTGGATTTACGTAATTTTTTTCTGTGGATTTTTTTTATGGCCTTTCGTATTTTTTGTTCTTTGCCTTTGTGGGCCAAAAGGCAAAACTCATTAAAATACCGCAATGCGTTGTGTTCTCGCCACCACATTATAAATTATTTAATGTGGTTTAAATGAGCTTAATACAGCCTAAAGAACAGCGGGCTAGGCGCGCTGTAAATATGCGTGAAGAGTGAGTGCGAGAATGTAGGTGTGGCGGTAAAACGCATGAAGGAACGAGAGTCTTATGATCCCGGCGAAAATAAACAGTAAAATAGGGATACCAACAGCCCGATTCACAAGAATGTTGCATGGTGCGTTCGTATAATACATAGCTATAAGTCAAAACGTTGGAGAGTGTAAAAGGGCTCGCGGAAGTATAATTTAAACTTTTCGAACTACTTCCAAGATATAAGAACAGAAAATTGTAAACCCGTCCTATAGACTAAGTTGCGAAGAATTGAGGCAGATAACTCGCCACTTAGTCCAAAGCAATTTTGCTTAAGCTATACAATAAATCAAACAATGTCGTTTCCCAGTTCAGCTTTAGACAAGAGCCATACGTAATAATAGAGCAAAAGGGGTGGAAAAAGAGACTTCGATGCACCCACCTATGCTGAGCTTGGACTTGAAGAGTCATATTAGATATCTCCTACTGCTGCAACTTAAGTAGCTGAATCGGCAGAGGCTCCAACTCTTCAACCCTAACGTGAAAATAATTTCATCGACGATCGGTCAGCCATTAAGAACGTAGTTGCTATAAGGGCAAGCTCGCTTTTTGTTCTATAATACAGGAATAGGATATATGCACTAACTTAGCTCTGGTTTGTTCTCTTCATTAAGGAAAACTTTAGACCAAAGGACTATAAAGTTGCTAAAACTCACTAAAAAGTGCATTTATGATCAGGTATTAAGCATATGCTTCCTTTTTATTTGTAACTCTAAGGACCAACAACTAATGGTCTATGCGAGATCTCATAGCTCAGCCGAGCCAACCTAAGCAACCCAAACTACCCAAAAAAATTTGTCAAAACAAATTATCGTTTATACGAAATTCTAAAAATGTATGTGCAGCTTTTAAATTTCCAAAAAATTATGTTCAGTTTTTTTTTATTAACCAAAATATTTCAGGTTTCTAATGCACCAAGAAATTATGTTGAGTTTCAAAATTTAGAAGAGTTTACATATATCTAGTTTGTAGAATACTCAAAATTTGTGTTAAATTGTTCATTTATTTTTAAAAATTTATGTCTACTTTTTAATATACCCAAATTTTTCCCTTCTAAATTACTTAACAAAATTTCTATCATTACAATACAATAAGTCGTTCTCGGTTTTAAAATTATTTATACTAAAAATGTATTTCCACTACAAAAAAACTCGTACAATTTTGTTTCTCGAATTTAAACGTTTTTTTTTAGTTATTTACTTTCAACAATCTTTTTAAATTCTTCCTTCAAGTTTATTATTTCATGTCAAAGCTCTCTGTCTCTTTCTTCATCGACTTTGCCTTTTTTTCCTAGCCTTAGCGCTTGCGATAATGATCACCAATTCGCTTAACGCATACAGTTGACAGAGCAGAACTTATCAATTAGATATAGAAAAATTAAGAAACACATTTTTTCTTAAGTATTCCTTCCAAAGCAAATTACTTAAAATTATCTAAGTATCCATAAGAGCGGCTCAACAACGTTAAATAGCAGCTTCATTTCACTGTCTTAAACTGTAAATACATACTTACATTCGTAGACAGAACAGCAAAAAAAAAAACACAACTGCTTCCACGAAGCCATCCATCATACTTACCAAAAGCATATGCCACAACTCTTGACTCGCCAATGTGCTAAATTAGTTTGGTTAAGCGCTGACATACTCGCATATCTTCTAATGCCTTTAAGCCGCCTGCCAACTACTCCATCATTGACTGCTTAAAACATCAAACTGAAATAGCAGCCGCTATTTAGCGTTCATTTAAGCTCATTTATTCAGTTTTGGCCGCCGCTTTGGATGCGTACATACTTAAATAACTTTAATTATTGAAGTATTTTTTTGGAAGCAATTAAGAAACCATGCCACGCAGTCAATCGGACACTTCACCATAACGAATGCGAAGCGATACCCAACTGGTTTAGTCAAGCTTTTAAGTACCCAAGTACATATGTATGTATATCCATACATACATATGTACATACTTGAGTAGGCACAATATTCGTGCACCGATGGATATGGAGTTGCCCAGTCACGCCAGAGCTCCACAAAAACAAAAAAAAAGTGTCAACATTATCTGCGAATTCTTCGCAAGTAAATAAACATTAAAGTACGCTCTGTACGTGCTAAGAATTTTTAATTTGAACACGTTTCGCATTTACTCTTTTCGCTAAGTATGTTTATGTACAGCGAACATTTCTGCGTATTTGTTTGCCCGCGATGTTTAATTGTTGACAGAATTTAAATGTAGTCAAGCAACAAAGGCACGATGAGTCAAGTTAAAGTAGGAGCCATAAGCTGTGCAGTGCAAAGGCAGTAAAACGATTTAGGATAGTATTCCAGGAACATTTTATGAGTTCAATTACATTACTTCGTTTTTCTGTTGTAACAATCAATTTCCGGCTGGTACAACTGTGGAAAATAAATTGAAAATCGCCATAGATTCTCAAGTTATTCTACAATCTTCTCTACTTAGGTGCAAAGTATTCTAATGGCA